AACGGCTGTCCAGTGCTTCCAGGTTTTCCATAGTGGTCTAGCTTTAATTGACTTATGAACTCAACTAGTAGAAAGATTTATCTCAACAATTCAGAAAACAAACCTTTTAGATGTATCAGCGACCTCCTGGCATCTATCCATTTATCTATCAACTAGTCAATCTATCTATTATCTTCCTATAGATGTCAATCCACCAACGACGAAAGAAATCAGAATGGTCATCAGACAAATCAAGAGCAGGAAAGCAGCAGGACCCGACAATATACTAGATGAAGCACTGAAGCCAGACATCGAAATAACTACAAACATGCTTCACCTTCTATTCAAGAGGATTTAGGGGGAGAAACAAGTGCCGACCCTAAGTAGATTGCAAAAAGACCATAAGAACGCCATAGCAGGTTTATTTATTTATTTGAACGCATAAACATTAGTACAAGGAGGCACCAAATACATATGCGCCACACAGAAACAAGTGCCGACGGACTGAAACGAAGGACACCTCATCAAGATTCCAAAGAAAGGAGATTATAATGTTTTGAATTATTTGAATTGTAGTATGAACTAAGAGTTCCAGAAATAACGCAATTGAATTAAGAAGTGAGACACAAGCACAAACGAATGTATTGTATTTGGAATTCGAAATCGAGCATTCAACATGTGGAATCCGTCACTACACATCAAGTTCATTGATTATGAAAAGGCACTTGACAATTTAGATAGGAAAACATTATGGAATATTCTTCGGCACTGTGGAGTTCCTAAGAAGATTGTCAACGTTATCCGGAACTCATACGACGGGATGCAGTGCAGAGTCGTGAATAGAGGACAGCTGACGGATGCATTCCAAGTAAGGACCGGAATCAGACAAAACAGCTCGATATCAACTAGAAGATCTGGACTTGACAGATCATCTGGACCTTCTATTCCATGCACATGGACAAATGCAGGTGACGACAACCAGTGTAGCAGGAGCCTATGTCTGCATCAGTAGGCCTCAACATGCAGAAAGGAAAAACCAAGATCCTCAAAAACAACACGAAGAACACCAACCTAATCACACGCGATAGAAACTAACGGTTAAATCAACTGTCGTTCGACATGGTAGCTGGTCACTCATGCATTATGTATACTAAGTGTTCTTCAGTAAAATGTGATCACCAGTAAACAAACAAATAGAACGAAATGTGATGCTGAGAATTATAATTTATTCTAATGAGTGTAACAAAACATCAAGCACGTTTGAAGATGAGATAATCAAGAGTCAACTTTTCTGTTGCATACAATAAATGATTTCTACATTCATGTTGTAGTTATTCAGTCTTCGTTAACCGCCTCCTAGGATTGCAATGATTGCAGTGGTCCACATTGTCTAAAATGTTTGACAAAAGATAAGAAGTCAAGTTATGTTACTAGCAATCGAATATTAAGTTGCTTTGTAAACACAGTAGTTTTCGAATGAATATCTTTTCAACCCCAGTCTTAGTGTGCAGAAGTGCTACGCCACTCGTCCATATCTCCATGGAGTCCATCCCAAATTTAGACTGCAAATATCAAAACAAGTCTGACATTCTATGGATTCCTTAACAAGTTTTTCTTCGTACAAGTTTCTAGACTTACGGAGGGTCGAGGCACAAGTGTTCCGAGCCTTTCGATACTGAGATTTTGACTCATTAGTCCCCAGTAACCTAAATCTATCCCACATTTTCCTTTTCTTACGGAGAAGGATACGGACTTCCCTACTGAGCCATGGTGGTGAGTTTTTCGGCCCCTTTGGTATAGTCCAAGGGATGTGAGGTGTGGTAACTTTTAAGTATGAATTTCGAAATGTGTCTCAGGCCGTTTCAATGGAGGACTCTGAGTCTATTGTCCAATCTATTAACGATGCTGAGTGCATGATGTCTGGTATGTTTGCTTTCCAGACGTTGAGTCTGGACTGGACTGACGCGTCCTCATGACTGGCAGTTATATGGAAGTCGAAAGTTAAAACTGCGTGGTCACTTTTACCTAAGGGTGGCATATGATGGAGGTTCGCAACATCATCCTCATAGTGAGTCAGTATAAGATCTAATAAGGATGATTCAGTGTCCGGAACGTACCTTGTCGCTTCTTTCACATGTTGCACTAGAGCACATGTGATAACCCCATCAACTAGTTCCTGCTCGAAAGAATTCTCCGACGATTTAGTTCGCAGATTTTCCCAGTCTACCATAGGTGCATTAGAGTCCCCTAGGATTAGACATCGACCACTTTGGGACCAAGTATTGAGACTGCTTAACAGGATCTCATTTGCCTCACAGCTTGGACTGCAATAGACCAAACCAATCAGCAGCTCTTGTCCCTTGCATTTTAAGCGAAGACTAACTAATTCACACGTCCCACTCTCATGGGATACACTATCGATAATGGTAAATGGGATAGCATTCCTAATGAATAGAGCTACTCGCCCTCCTTTGTGCTTTTGTGTTCTGTCGGCACTTACTAACGTAAAGCCCTCGAAATCAAGTTCTATACTATCTATAGCCTGTGTCAGCCAGGTTTCTGTTACTGCGATTATATCTGGCTTTGTAGAGTCAATCTGTACACCTAGTTCCGATCGCTTATTAAGTAAGCTTCGTGCATTGGTGTAACAGATCTGAAGCCTCTTTAAGTGCCTTCGTGCTTCACCCAGAGTGGCTTCGGCATCATTCTCTGTCGAAGTCTTACAACCCGAAAATTTACAATTTTCAGGTCCTTTTCGCCAGCGTCTAACCTATGTTGTAGTTCTTTCCCGGCTTCCCGTCTTTTAACACGGTCTGCCAACGGTAGGTCCTTTCGGATAAAGACTCCTGAACCCTTTAATTTGTGTCCATTTTGTAAAATTAGGTCACATTCGTTCGAAGAGCCGAACACTACTTTAAGCAGTCTGGAATGATTTGGTTTCGAGTCCGTTAGACTCCCTAGTCTGTACACATTTAGCAAGGTGACCCCGGTCATATTTTGAGGCATGAGTTGATTAAGCAGCTGCCTAATCAGTACAATGTCATGCTCAAAACGAGCTTTAGGTTCAGAAGCGATAGCATCAACCAGTGAGATGGCCTCGGTTAGCAAGCTGTTTGCATCCGAGCAGCACTGTTGACAAAGCCACACACAACCCTTCTTACTGAACCGTTTGAAAGCAGCAGGCGTTAAGTTCGTGCAAACTTCGTGATACCAGCCTTTGCACTCGTCGCACTGCATGCCGCTTTCAACAGGATAACGACAACCCGGACGTTGACAACTGCTTTTTTTACACTGTCCGGTCATCTTGGAGGGGTACTTCTTTAAACTGTGATGATACTCAGAACAAAAAAAAATTATCAATGATCAAAAAAGAAGAGCTATAGATTGTTAGGACCAAAAGTACTAACAGATACAGTTGAAAAGAGGCACTCAAGAGTACCAATGACAAAACAGTAAAAACGATACTTTAGTCAAATACTTTAACGGAAATAAATTCAATTAAAGTGAAAAACAGTAGTCTTCATACGTAATAAACGATCAAAACAAAGAAATTTACTCAGTGAGGAAAAATACCACTGTCCTTTTTAAATAGCGCGCGTGCGTTATTTTAAAAGTGTTTGCATAACTTTGGATGCCTTTTTACTAGTGTAAAAATTATCTATCTTTTCTCAAATCACTTTGTGATTAGTGGCCACGATTGCATTCATGGGGCTTTATTAATTGGCATTACCAAAACGAAAACTTTCTTCACGTAACTGTGTTCGTTTAAACGTAAGGTGATAGGTGGTAGACAAGTGAGTTATTTGTGATGCAACTGGCCTATTGTGGAGTTGAATTATTTAGAGTTGACTGATCGCTGATTTTGACTAATCTCATGTTTAGTTGAAGTTAGTTGATTTGAAGTTCTCACTTTTCAGACTATAAAGCTGTGTGGCAACACTTCTCTCATAACTATATGAACTCCTTGTTGATAAATATCAACTTACGTCTGAAAATTTCTCGCGACTACCTTCAACCACCTAAAATGACAACATAGTCCGTACGATATCTAGTCACATAAACTAATTACCAAACTGCAATGTGGAAAATAAAACCAACCAGCACTCAAACGACTAGACAAGCATGACATTGTTCAGTACTCATTGATCAATTATTTCAAACCATTCATTACTCGTTATGGTTGATCGACTGTTGATTTTCCATTAGTCGTAATCGTTGATTTCTCATTATACTGAGAATCAATTAGCCACATCAAATTATTTCTCTCCTAAATTCCATTTCATTTGAAAAATTTCTTGGAAGAGTTCGAATGGTCATTTAACTGATCCACATTGTCAGAATGTTTGTTCTTTGATATGACTACTTTATCGTATATGCGGTATAAATGCATTTATCACTCATTTCCATAGATTATCTTTCTCATATTTAGGAACTTACCTAGAACCTCCACGATATCCAGATCGATTTGCTATTTCTGCTTCACTTGGTGGTGCTAACGAAAGGGTTCTAGTACAATATCTGTTCGTCGTTTTCAATATATCATTAGAATCGAGTGAAATATTCACTCCCTCCACGTGAATAAACATTTGTCCTAAAGTAGAAAAAGCAGTAAACCGTGATTAGTGAGGCTACAAAGCAAGACATGTTGATTGAATTGTGAATCATATCAAAAATCTCCACGAATTGCGTGTTACTACTACAAATACTACTACTACTACTACTACTACTACTACTACTACTACTACTACTACTACTACTACTATTAGAACTGTAGTGGATGGAGATTTGGTGAGGACAGCCAGTTTGTATTTTTGTTCAGAATCACACAATCCCTTTGTAAAATATGAAAATCTCACATTTAATAAATCACGTGAATATATTCTATCGATTAGCCTTTACACACTTCATTATTCTTCCGATCCTGTTATTATTTCGACTGCTCTTCGTTTCCCTTCCCCTTCTCTTCACCTCACTGTTTAGACGGTAGGTATTCTACTTCCAATTCCTACTATCTACTAATTATGTGTGTCCGTGCATACCACACTACTACTACTACTACTACTTCTACTTCTACTCCTACTACTACTACTACTACTACTACTAATCCTACTACTACTACTACTACTACTACTACTACTACTACTACTACTACTACTACTACTACTACTACTACTTCTACTACTACTACTGATAATAGCAACAATAATGATAAGTATATTAATAATGAATAAATAATTCACATACCTGTCTCGTCAAACTGAATTGGTACTCTAAATGTGACTGATCCAATTTTGATTATGCTTAACGTGCATAAAATCACTACGGCAATATACAATTTGAACATGTGGGATATCATTCCTACAGTTGATATTAATAGTAGAAAGCATCACACTATGATTGATATTTTCATGAAAATAAGCAAATATTAAATCATCTCTGTACAAAACTAACTTAATTTAATACACCATTTGATTATGTTAATTTGTATTCTTAATGCTGAATATCGGTACAAAACTGTTCTCTATTTCCTAGCACCAAATTCATCTATATTCACTCATGATCACTTTGATATTTTCTCATTTATACATATGTATAGAGTGATTATAATCAGTGGACTGTGTATGATCTACACTAGGATTTTGTACTGACTGAGAAGTCACACATCAGGACGAAACAGACATCCAGTGCTTCCACGTTTTCCATGGCGGTCTAGATTTAATTGACTCATGAATTCAACTATTAGATGTTAATTTCTTTGGGAAAAGCTACAGTCACTGTCAAGTTTACGTTTCATGATTAACTTGGATGAAAATTTTGTGGAGTTGTCAATGATTCTTGAAATCTTACATTATTTCATTTTGCTTCTCATTGGTAGTGCAATAGTACACCTGTTCGACAATCGTCCATTCGTACAATTTACCCATTATGTGCAGTTTCGTAATCTATTTCATTGTGATCGTTGATCCATAAATTCCCTTGATCAGTTTAATATTCTCACATTTTCATAGAGTAAAATCTGATAAAGATCGTATTGACAACATTAGTGTTCGCTCATATGTGTTGTCTTAGTCTTGAATTCAACAAACGAATTCTTGTTTCGTAAGTGGGTTATAATGAGTATTACATACATAATACAGACACAGAATATGCTGATGAACCAATACACTTGTGTACCTGGAATAAACTCATTGTAATGCATCTCCTAAACTTCTATGAATTAACAAGTCAGAAGATAGGTAAACAAGCTCAGTCACAGATTACATTTCATTATGAAAATATTACAGAATAACTTACTGCAATTGTCCTATTATTGTTAGAGATATGACTTGGAGGAGTGAACAATTTATACAGATGAATTGAACGATAAGCCAATGAAAACCGTTGTATGAGATTAAATGTAGGTTATGAACCATAATGTACCGACATAAACTACAGTTTTATACGAAATAAACCACCTAACGACTCAATGTAACGAAAACATCTAAATAAATAATCAGGGTTATTTGTTGATCAATGATTAGATAATCCGATTAAATGATTAAATGAAATTTACAGAACATTTTGGAATGTTTATTGTTTACGAATCCGCTGTTCATATGTATCCATAAATATGTCTGAGTGAACTCAAATTACATCGTTTTCTTGTTTACATATTAGCCGTATGGCAGTGATGCTTGGATTGACTACTATTATAATTATTATTATTATTAATGACTTTATTCAATATTATATTTTGGTACAATATGGAATTCTCAGCACAGGGTATTTCAACAAGTTACTTACGCTAAAACAAAACAGGAACAAAGACAAAAAAGGTTGAAAAAACCGACAAACTGTACAACTTTTCAAATTAGAGACATGTTATGAATGCAGGTTATTGACTAGGTTTGTGGAGATAGGCCTAATAAACCTATTTTGTAAATAGTTTTTGATAGCTTTTGCATTTATTTTGTTTATTTCCACAATCTGTACATATATCACTAAACGATTGTACTTGTTGTTTAACTATGTGACCTTGACGACGAACTTCCGCGTTGAATTACAAATCGCACGACATTGTTAACTGTGCATTAATAAATAAACTCTTATACACACATGCCTCGTTCTGTCATGCCTATGGATATAGTAACTAAACTATTGAATAACTATCAACTATATTTATAGACTGTTGTGACATTCCCATTACATTCTACGTCGAGGAAACTGGCTGCAGCCATATTTACCTCATTGAAATTATTAATTATCTATAATTTTGGAACTTTGGTAACACGCACAACGAAACACGCAACAGTCAGCTGATTTAAGCAACATTCTTGAACCTTTATTTTGCGGTAATAATTTAGAAGTTGTTTATTGTTATTTTAACTTTTGGATGTAATAACTTTGTTGCTATTCCTTTTTGGTTAATATACTGTTTGGACCACCACAGGTTAACTCGAACAACCTGTTCGTCACAGAGTATATTTGTTAGGTAAGGTGTAAGATCCGTTTTGAATGTTTTGTGTGTATGTGTGTGTGTGTGTGTGAAAATCCCTCCATATTTATACTTGCACTTTGTTCCTATTGATCCCCTTGGTTGTACACTGTTAGTTTTTTGATTACATTTGAATTGTTAATACTTGTATTTTATTATAGTTTTTAATTTTATTACACCTTCACTAAGTCTCCATGTTTCTTACCTAACTGCCCTTATTTTGTTTTACTTTATACTTAGTCTTGGCGGCAGCCATATTGGTTTGTTCCTTCTTTTGATTGCTTTACCTGTGTTGACTGGAATTGTGCATTTTCGGTTGGTAATTGAAGCACTCTTCCAGAATTGGAAACACCCTGTGTTATAAAGCGACCAAATATTATCTTTTGAACGAATCTGTGCGTGCTCTATCCAGACAGAATAGAATAACATTTATTTGTTTTCATTGGTAATTTTCTTGCATCCTTTATCAACTTCCTTACTTATTGTAATTTAGATTTGATCAATTGAACAATTATTGGTTGGATAGCTGAGTGGTCATATTTGTTTAGGTAATAATGCATATTTAAATTTATGATGAATTATAGAACCGTCATTTTACCCAGTTACATTGTTTTGGTTCCAACGGGCAAGGGCGCATATCTAACCCACCTAGTCAGCTATTCATCAGCCCGAACCTTAGTTTGGATCTTATATAAGGTATTATAGAACTTTTATAATTTTGTTTGCGTACATGGATTTTAATGTAATTACTTCTCGTTCTACCAGAAGATATACAAGGAGAAAGACAAGCGTGAAGGGGATGGTTAGTATCTGGTAACATAACACCTGTCTATCCACAACCACATTAATTATGACCTCGAAAGATTCACCACACATCTTGCTAACTGCCTCCAGCACTCTCCGCAATACAGCAAAGTCTTTCCTCGAAAGCCCGGTGGAGAATAATGGAGAACAGTAAAGAATAATAGGTAATATGGAGGAATTGACAAATTGTAAGAGTAAATGACGAGTAATCCCAAGAACATGCAATCTTGTTATGTAGTAAGTCAGACGGAACACCTTCTTTGATAACAATAAAACGTGAGAAGACCAAGACAGATTAGAGGAAAAGGTGACACCAAGATAATTGACCTTCGACACTGTGTTTATCAAAGAGTTTCCGATGGTACAAGCACTATGGGATCTCAAAATAATGTTTAGATTCCGTTCATGTCTCATGCTAAAGTTAACAGCTTGACATTCGGACAGATTAAGTATAAGATCATTACCAACAGACCAACAATCAATACAAGGCAAAAATCCATTCATTTCTACTGTTCTCTTTCAGAGGTAGGAACATAGCCAGTTGGTTATCCAGCTGTTAGTGTTGATGTTGATTTACTTGTTAAGCAAACGTTGTCTTGGTATAGAATCAAAAGCCGAAGTATAGCCCAGAAAAGCGCATCGAACATACCTCTTACCTTTTCTAAGTTGAACACTATATTGTGATGCACAAACAGCAACAGCATATAAGGTGCTTCTTTTGCATCTGTAAGCAAACTGATACGGATCAATATGCTCTTTTGTCGCAGGCTGAAGTGGAAGTATTAATAACTTTTCCATGGTTTTGCGGAAGGGTGAAGTTATTGCAATAGGTCTAACTTTCACATTCCTATCACCAGATACTTTCTTGAGTACAGGGATTGTCTTCATCTTCCTCCACATTTTCGGCATAATATTAGATGAGAAGGATCTGTTAAAGATAATCGTGAATGGATGAGAAAGGACGTCAGCACATTTCTTAAAAAGGCGGTTTGGGATACCATCAGGTCCCAAACATCGGGATGAACAAGGTGACTGAAGACATCTTCGGACATCAGCTTCAGTGAAACTAGGAACACAGCGATTTTATAAACCGGTGGATAAAGAGAGCATCACATCAAGTGGCTGACGTACAAAAGACGTATTTAAGTCATACAAATTCAGCTGGCTATCGCTCCTAAACTCTCTGTCACCTGTAAGTTCTTTATAGAGTTTCCACATACTTGGAGAATTTTTGGCAAGACAATAGTTTATGAGTAAACATAGAGTTGAGACGTCTAATCTCTAGGTTTATCAGACCATTTAGCTTACGAACTTCATTGGAGTTTTTCTACTTGTACATTCTTTCTTTCACCCTCCGTAGTCGTTTTAGTTGTGAAGATGTAAGTCGATCAAAACTCACAGAAATTGTTTCAGTGAGACAACAAATATCAAAACAGAATTTAAGGTAACAGGTGATAACATCGGTAGTGATTTCCAGTGAGTCATCTGTAAATAATTCTCAGTTAGTCGTATGAAACATGTTTTTCAGATTTTGGATGTTTTCGTCTGAGTAATTCCTATATTGGACTTTCTTGGTTTGATGTAAGAGTGTACTCTTCCCATGCTTTCCATATACTTTAGGTAGAACACGAATTATACTGTGATCCGAGCAAGACAATGGAGCACGTTTACGAGTCGCATATATACACACATCATTAATGAAAACGAAGTCTAAATGAGCATCCAAACGGGTAGGAAAATCTACTACATTTTGGTGACCTAATGACGTAAGGAAGCTACAGTCACATGAATTGAAATCACCACATAAAACTGAAAGTGAATCACTGAAGGCAGTAACAGCAAACGCAGTGAATTCATCAGCGAAAACAGATAGCGCAGATGATGTGCAGTCTGGAGTCACGTAGATATTGGTAACATAAATATATTTGTGTTTATCCAGATGTTTTGGACGAC